CATAAGGAGATGTGCCAAGCTGAGAATATGTGGGCAGGGGCTAAGGCTACTGAGGAAATCAAAAGCCAGCAAGGAATTGGACAACACAAGATTTCTGCAAGGAGCCCTTCAGTTTATAATTGCCATCTTCAATCAACATTTAGGGACCTTGTATTTCTACCAATTTTGTAGTTATGTAGAAGAGGCAATTTTAGCTTGTATGACAAGCTGTGTGTGTGTGTGTGTGTGTGTGTGTTGTGTGCCTTCAAGTCTTTTTTGACTAATGATGACCCTAAGGACAGTGGTTGGTTCTTTATCCATTATAAGGATGGATGGATGGATGGATGGATGGATGGATATCTCCATCCATCCCTAAAATGGGTGAGGAACCAACCACTGTCCTTAGGGTCATCGTTAATCAGAAATGACTTGAAGGCATACAACAGAGAGAGAGAGAGAGAGAGAGAGAGAGAGAGAGAGATTGTCATACAAGCTAAAATTCCTTCTTCTACATAAAACACACACACACACACACACACAGCCATTATTGGGCACCTCTTGCATCTGAATAATTGCAGGCAATCATTAATGTAACATTTCTGGGCAAGGTGACTGAGTGTGTGGTGGCGAGTACAGCCCCAGACATGTCTGAATGAAACAGATTGCCTAGATCCTTATCACTTTGGCTTTAGGCCCAGTATTGGTACTGAAACTTAGTTAACCTTGATAGATAGCTTCTGCTGGGAGACAGATAGGGAGATCCTTCTGGATGTTTTGGCTGCTTTAGATGACCTCAGTCTATCATTTTAAGGAAGTTATCTTGATAAATTGGAAAGTGGAGGGGGGAATTCTCTTGCAGTGATTTCAGTCCCATCCATCAGGCAGGACCCAGAAGCAATTGGTGTTGACTGTTACTGTCCCACATGGGGCTTATCCTAGAAGCATCAACAGTGATCAACCATATCCCTGTGCATCTCAACACCACTATGGAACAACTGGAAAGGTCTAGAGATGTTCCTCTAGAGATCTAGAATGCAGTGACATCAGTAGGCTGGTGCCACCTAGCTCTCCCTCTACTGGTTCTTTTCAGGAAAGGCAAAGGAAAGTCCTGAAGAGGTTCTTGTGCCAGCGATTGAGTGGATGAGATTTAACATAATGGAAGCATAGTCTAGAAGAGGATCCAACTGATCCAAGTGTCATTGGTTCTTCAATGCTGGAAAGCATTGCTCTGCCTCTGAAAGACTAAGGCTGCATCTACACTGCAGAAATAATCCAGGCTGACACCACTTTAATTGCCCTGGCTCAATGCTATAGAATTCTGGGATTTGAAGTTCTGTGAGATATTTAGCTTTCTCTGTCAGAAAGCTCTGATGCCACAACAAATTAGAGTTCCTAGGATTCCATAGGTTTGTGCCACGGCAGTTTAAAGTGATTTCAACCTGGATTATTTCTGCAGGATAATTTTCTCATTTAACACTGCTTGTGGAATCAGGAGGATCCAGAGGAAGCCACAATGGTGCTTTTTCTCTTCTTTTTTTTATATACTTTAGCCATACACTAGTTGACAGATGGTCTTGCAAAATGATGACTTGGTTGTACTATTATTATCTCTGCTCTATCTTGAACTACCTTTGAAAACTATTTGGAAACTTCAATAAACTGAAAATGTTGCAATCTGCTGATTAGCAGGAATGCTCTATATGAATCATTGTACCTATACTATAAACTGAAGTGTCTGTTCATCTGTAATGCTATACAGATCAATATGCTTAATCACAAATGTGATATGTTATCTAATGGGACCAAAAAGAAGACCTCAATGAGCACTTTGAGTGCTTCCAAAACAAACATTAACTTTGCAGCTGTAGCCAAGACCGTCTTTACACAGCCTAGGCTGGTGTTCACTTCAGACTGGTAAA